AGCAACGTAGAAGGCGGGAACAGAGAGTTGAATAAATTGGAGTTGATCGGATTGCATGGCTTGACCATGCAGGCGTGGCTCCTGCGGAATGTTACCTTGAATATTTTATTTGCATTAAACATATTGTTCTTTCTCTAGCCTACGCTTGCTCTCCATTATGTATTGGTAATTGTTACGAAGTAGTGAGTTGGTGTAAAGGATGATGTGACTCCCACGTAAGATCTTATAGATTAGGAAGTTATATCATGACAAATCTACAATTTAACGCTAATCCTGATTCTTGAGGAATGACATGTTAAAGTTCAGTTTGTGAATTGGGAATTCCGACCGTAGCTCTTCTAGAGTTACTGCCGGTCCCAAGCCCGGGTAATGAAGAGGGTATGGACATGGGGTTAGCGACCCCATCCCGTAGAAAACTAACTCGCTAAAAAACGCTAACCAGAATAAATAATTCAAACCATTTAAACTCTGCCCTGGGAGTTAGAAGGTCGTCATTTAGAAGAACTATGACGCCTCATGGTGAAAGCCGAGTTCCTTCGGAAGCCACGAGGCCGATACCTCTTCTAACAACCGGAGCAACAATTTTTATAGGTACATGGAACGTCCGAACAATGTGGGAGACCGGGAAGACCAGTCGAATAGCAACGGAAATGAGGAGATACAACTTGGCAGTACTGGGAATCAGCGAAACCCATTGGACCCAAGCTGGACAGAAAAGGCTAAATACGAGAGATGCTGCTATACTCCGGCCACGAAGAGGAAAATGCTCCACGCACTCAGGGAGTTGTTCTAATGCTGTCCAAAGTAGCACAAAATGCACTCGTAGGATGGGAATCTCACGGATCCAGAATCATCAAAGCATCATTCAAAACAAAGGAGGGGATCACAATGAATATTATCCAATGTTATGCACCCACCAATGATAACAACGACGACATTAAAGATCAATTCTATGAGCGGCTGCAATCAATCATAGAGAAGTGCCCAAGAAAGGAACTCACCATTCTGATGTGAGATCTAAACGCCAAAGTCGGAATAGACAACACCGGATATGAAGATATCATGGGACGACATGGACTGGGAGAAAGAAACGAAAATGGGGAAAGATTTGCAATAAATTGGTCATAGGCGGAACAATATTTCCACACAAACGTATACATAAAGCTACATGAATCTTACCGGACCACACCACAGAGATCCAGATAGATCATATTTGCATCAATAAAAAGTTCCGAAGGACAATGTAAGATGTGAGAACCAAGAGAGGAGCTGACATAGCTTCAGATCACCACCTAGTTGTGGTCAATTTAAGACTGAAGCTAAAGAAGAACTGGACAATCAGCACTACAAAGGTTCAATACAGCCTTCCTTCGAGATACTGACAAACTCAATGAATTCAAGATAGCTCTCAACAACAGGTTCCAAGCCTTACAGGATCTACTGAAAGAAGAAGAAACTACTATGGAGGACAATTCGGAAAGTATTAAAGAAGCATTAATTTCAACGTGTCAGGAGGTTCTGGCCCTCAAGAAGCATCATCATAAGGAATCGATCTCTATAGAAACACTGGACAGGATCAAAGAAAGGAAGAACAAGAAGACAGCAATTAACAACAGCTGAACACGAGCAGAGAAAGTCCAAACACAAGCTGAGTACATAGAAGCAAACAAGCAAGTGAAGAAGAGCACTAGAGCCGACAAGCAGAAATACATGGAAGAACTAGCATCGATGGCGGAAAAAGCTGCAAGAGTAGGAAATATGAAACAGCTTTACGATACAACGAAGAGACTAGCAGGGAAATATAGTAAACCAGAGAGACCGGTCAAAGACAAAGAAGGCAGGCCAATCACTGAAATTCAACAACAGAAGAACAGATGGGTAAAGTACTTCGAGGAATTCCTGAATAGGCCGACTCCAATGAATCCACCAGAAATCGAAGCAGCACACACAGATCTTCCTATAGGTGTCAATCCACCAACGACGGAAGAAATCAGAATGGCCATCAGACAAATCAAGAACGGGAAAGCAGCAGAACCCGACAACATATCAGCTGAAGTCAGACATCGAAGTAACTACAAACATGCCTTACCTTCTATTCAAAAAGATTTGGGATGAGGAACAAGTGCCGATGGACTGGAAAGAAGGACACCTCATCAAGATTCCAAAGAAAGGAGATCTAAGCAAATGTGAAAACTACAGAGGCATTACACTACTGTCAGTACCAGGGAAAGTCTCTAACAGAATGTTGCTAAACCGGATGAGACGCAGTAGACGTCCAACTTTGAGACCAACAAGCTGGATTCCGGAGGGATCGATTGTGCACAGACCAAATGGCGACACTACGGATCATCGTCGAACAATCAATTGAGTGGAACTCGTCACTGTACATCAACTTTATTGGTTATGAAAAAGCATTTGACAGTGTAGATAGGGGAACCTTATGGAAACTTCTTCAACACGGAGTTCCTGAGATTGTCAACGACGGGCTATAGTGCAAAGTAGTGCATGGAGGACAGCTGACAGACGCATTCCAAGTAAGGACCGGAGCCAGACAAGGCTGTCTACTCTCTCCCTTCCTCTTTCTTCTGGTGGTCGACTGGATTATGAAGACCTCAACATCTGAGGGAAAACACGGCATACAATGGACAGCTCAGAACCAATTAGACGGTTTGGACTTCGCAGATGACCTAGTACTCCCATCGCATACACATGAACAAATGCAGATAAAGACAGTCAATGTAGCAGCAGTCTCTGCATCAGTAGGCCTCAACACACACAAGGGGAAAACCAAGGTCTTCAGATTCGAAACGAAGAACAGCAATCCAATCACTCTTGATGGCGAAACTCTGGAAGATATAGAATCCTTCACATACCTGGGAAGCATCATCGATTAACAAGGAGGTTCAGATGCAGACGTGAAGGCGAGGATTGGCAAAGCAAGGGCCGCATTCCTACAATTGAAAAACATATGGAACTCAAAACAACTTTCAACCAATATCAAAGTGAGGATCTTCAATATCAACGTCAAGGCAGTTCTACTGTACAGAGCTGAAACTTGGAGAAATACAATAACCACCATCAAGAAGGTACAAGTATTTATAAATAGCTGTCTACGCAGGATACTCAACATCCATTGGCCGGATACCATCAACAACAGCCTTCTGTGGAAGAGAACACACCAGCTTCCAACTGAAAAGGAAATTAGGAAAAGACGATGGAAATGGATAGGACATACATTACGCAAACCACCGAACTGCATCACGAGGCAAGCCCCAACTTGTAATCCTGAAGGGAAGCGTAAAAGAGGAAGGCCAAAGAACACATTACGTCGGGAAATCGAGGCAGATATGAAAAGGATGAATAACAACTGGGAAGAGCTGGAAAGGATTGTCCAGGACAGGGTTGGATGGAGAGTGCTGGTGAGCGGCCTATGCTCCTTCACGCGTGACAGGAATAAGTACATAAGGAAATAAGTGGCAACTTGGACTGAAATACTTCGCAGATATCGTCTTAGAAGTCTCAAAGCAAGTGAGTTTCCTGTCTACTTATAACCGATTTAAGTCAGATTGTTAATAACATAAAGCTATCCCAGTCATCTGTCTTTGCGATTTTCTGTCGTTTCCGTAACAACCATTGACGTGTCGAATTATGGTGTTTTATGGTTTGAGCTCTGCTTTAATAATAGACTTAATCCTAAACTTGTAGATTTGTCATATTGTAACTGCCTAATCAATAAGATGTCACATGGAATTGACATTATTATCTACACCAATCATCAGTATATGGTGAAGAACTTAGGCTTGGGGTGGAACAATATATTTAAAATGAATAAAAGGTATATGTTAACACTCATTAATGACCACACCTGAAAGACCGAGCCATGCCATTCGATGGATTCCGACTATTTAAATTCATTGTTCCCGCCCTCTCCATCGTTGGGTTTTTCTACGCCTTAAATGTTGAATATGCATTTTCCCAGTTGTATCGTGTTCATCTTGTGTAGTTAGGGCCCAATGCCACTATTGACGTACACTTATTGAAAACATCAACTGTTCTATAGCTGGATCTTAGTATGAGAACACAAATAACTCATTGATAAAAATAGACGAAAAATTTAAAGTAAACCTTCTCACCATAATGTAGCAACGCAAGGATTCATGGGATAGTTCAAAGTTCGCTATTTTGACAAGACCCTTGTCATTCATTAAGAGTTTGGAGATTTTTAAGTCCCTGTGGATTATAAAGTTTTCATGAAGGTATTTCAGAACTTAGAAATCTGAAGCATGATGCATTTACATTCAGATAAACAAAACATATAAGCAGACCAGAGAAGGTAAACAAGCCAAATCGCTACAGTACTCATTACAAGCGTCAGTACAGCAAAAAATAGATGGTGTGTAGCGCAGCAAAGCGACACACTATATGAAATAATAAGTGACAGACAAACATACACAAAGCACATAGATGGAGATACACAAGGTCGTAAAAATAAGGTGTGTGTATGTAATGGATACGATGTGCAATGAAAACAATAGTCATCGTGGTGGTAAGAATGACGCGAAGTCAGATGCTATTCGATTTATCAAGGTCTCTTCAAAAGCTATGATTAATCATTTAAGTGTGTATTAGCACTCGACTCTACAAGACCAAACACCAAGACCACACAAAGTACCGGTGTCATACAGGTTCACCAACAGAGTAATCAACTCAGTAATCAACTACTGGAAGAAATGATGTCCGTAATTTCAAATGATTCTTTCAAGATATCTCTAGCTACTCAGTGAAGTTGAACAGAAAAGGACTACCAAAAGCAGTCGCCCTCTGTCCTTTGTGCACATATATGAATCTATCGTTATGGCGGGACAGTGAAGCTGAACGTTTAGGCAGTTAGTTAGAAGTTAATTGAGCTGGGAAAATACGCGCATCTCATCGGGGGATTTACTCCAACAGCAATTCCAGCCAACTGTTTAAGTTGTTTATCACACGATTCTTTAAAGAAAATGACTGATGGCAATGAGAAACTTAAACAAATGGAGGAGGAGATGGATAGGTATCCAGTGTGAGACAGCTTAATTTGTTTTTGAATGTAGATTCGAGGCTGAGATTGCTCATCAGTCGTCAGGCAAGACACCGAATAATATTCCAATCTCTGGCGGATTTACATTCCCTCCTGTTACTAGCTTTATGCCTCCCCAGTTACGTGTTCATCAAAACCCGACCAACGTCGTGCAGCCAGTTTATTCGGGTAATCACATTTTTTAATGTAAAGTGTTATTTGACAAAATTCCAACCATAAAATTAGTAGCAAAAGGAGAGTAATTTTTCATAGTGGCATTTTGCTGTACACGAAAGGGAATTTGTAACGTCCAGCAGCTTACAAGCGCAAGTCCTTGAAAACGCTTCATTCCTAATGAATGCATTATTTCACTGACTATGGACTACTTAATTGGTAAAGTTAACAAAAAAAGTGGCTATATACCTGTATCATTGTAGGTAACGGAAATAAATTTGATTGTCTTTTTACCCAGCAACAAGGGTACAAGTCTGAATGAACTATTTCAACACATTTCGACTCCTGGTGATCTATCGTAATAAATCAACGCGTTTAAATCCCTGGTGCATAAAAACCAGGAAGTTTATACAGGAAGTAAAAAACATGATGGCAAACATGTGCTACCAAGTTGAAAGCAGAAGATTCCTCTGGAAACTTCTAAAAGTTACCCAATTTTTTTCAACACTTGCAGAAGTTTTATTTCATGTACTTAAACACACATTGGTACAAGAAGGCACCAAATACATATGCACCACACAAGTCACTCGACTTGTTCGCTCAGGATCCTAGAGCCCATGTGCACCACTGATTTGGAACCATGGTTTTCTAACTCCCCTAGATGGATTCTCCGTATCTACCAACCTGGTTAGAGAGTCGAACATTCGCTTTTTGTCCTCTCAATTTCGTAAACATTATCTTTGCCTTGAGAAGGGAGTGAGCAGTACTTCCTTGTTAGTGATTGTATACACGTGGCCATGTGAGAGCATCTCGAGAGGGATAGTTGACTCCAAGCACTCTCGGTCGTACCAGGCATTTGGGAGAAGTCGTGTCTGGAGTAATCTGTGGGCTTAGTAACAGGTTTTTTATCGTTTACTAAGCAAACCACCTAAAATAGTTCAGATTGCTTGCCAAACCAATAACTTTGACTTGTATTCTCCGTACTCTTGGTAGTATAATATTTAATTTTACTGTAGATGAATTTGTTGAATAAGTACTTATAATGAATGTTAGTCAGTTAAGCTATATATATATAATGTTTCTAAAACCTAAATTAATACAAAGACCCAAAATAGTACGGTCAATTACTAAGGAAAAAATAACAACGCCTACTGAACGTTAACAGGGACTCAACAAGATGACCCAATGAATGTTGGTGATTTTCGTAAAGAAAAGGTGAGATTCCATAATTCGTGGTTAATTAAAAGATAATAACCTGTCTGAGAATAAAAGTCTTGAATAATTCACATTTAACTTAGGTGTTATTGGTTGGTTCGCTCTTGTCGATCAATGTTAGCGGTCGGTATGTATTAATGTAACTGAAGAAATCACGATCTTCACATAAACGCAACTTCTAAAGCACCTTTATAAGTCATGAGGTTATTGGAGGAATAGATGCATTACTACCTTATCTTTCAACTGTTAAATTATAAGTTGGAACTCTGTCGTACTTCATTTTGGATTACCTGCTGGTGTCAACAGCCCTCACAACGAAGGCGTGGCTCAAAGCCAAGTGTTGAAAGTTTCCCAATCTACAATTTTGTGACGTAATTTGTTTACCAGATGCAGGTTTATGTACTTGGCTTTGAAGGATAATCTGCTTGTTTTAAGGTGATGATTCTTTCCAATCGCCCAAGGAGATTTAAGTGGGGTGCGAGTCGGTGATGTGGACTTGTGAATTCTACTTCGAGTGTGCTAACAGAATTCTCTTACGGCATGGTGGTGTACTCGTTGCTCAAATCGCACTTGACCTGTTGTTGAGCAACTAGAATTATGAGACATGCTGTACACCATTGAAATAAAATCTGAATCTGGTAGATTAGAAAGAGCCTGCGCATGCATCTAATCTTAGTTATAAGCCATTTGCATCATTGGAAAAGGTCGTATACTGACGGTGCAACAAACAAAACCAACCTGTCTAGTGAAATTCCGTTAGACTTATGCTAATCTATGCCATCTTTTACCTACTTTCATGAGATAGTGTCTTCGAAGTTTTCTCAAACTGCTTGAAACCTTACTACCAACTAGTGAATGATTTCTTTCTTTCATGCATCGTTGGCATCACTTTTACGAGAGAATATTTACAATGGACGTTATCAATCGTACCTTTGGAAATTATACCTCACCGAGTTGTATTTAGCCTGGTTACGATTGTATAAGTGAACTAACTCCTACAATCCATAGTTTCTGCTAGGTGTACTAGTAGTAAAAACTTTATCAGCTGAAGGATATATTTTATTTCCCTTGAATTTGAACTGTATGAAGCAATATATATATGAAATGTCCTACTATCATTCAACATATGTCCTCTCAGCAGCTGCTTAACTTCTCTCTTACAGTCTTACCACTGCCTCCTGGGGTTCCCATGTTTGTTCCCCTTTCTCAACCTCCTGTGTCTTGTTACCATATGAATGTCGCTCACACGCAGTTGCCGCCATCAAATCCTGTTTTCATGCCTTCAAAGGCATCTAATATGTCGATCCCAGCACCAAAAGTGGAAATGTCTCCCGTTTCATCAGTTAACAAAGAGACTGTTAGTGAACATAACCCAACTCAAAAAGTTATATCTGCCCCACCACAAATGGCTGGACCAAACGAGTTAGCGGCACGAGCCAAGCAAGCCGCTGCGGCGGTTGCAGCTGCCAAGTCTAAAGCTGAAGACGAAGACGATGATGTTACTCGAGCATTGCTAGCTGCGGCAGCGGGAGTTACTTACACTCGAGTTCAGGGGCCAGATGGAAAAGGCAAGTTCATTACATATGCTACGTAGACATTTTATTTAATTGTTACTAAATTATAGTGGCCATTAGACTTGTAATTTTTTTGGAACTGGTGCTTACAACATACAATGATGTTATACTTTTCCACCCTCTATACAGTTTTATGAGATCAAGTTAGTGTTAATCATGAGCGTTGTCTGAAATATCATAACTCGTAATTTTATGTTTGGCTCTCACAATAAGATCTTTTTTCTAATCTTTAAATAAACTCTCATTTAATACTGTTTCTTGGCATTCCAGAAATGAAAATCTATTATCAGATTAAAACTTACTATTGTACAATTAATTACTAGACCGAAAGATAAGCGGATATATCAATATTATTAATAGAATTAAATTCAGTATGTATCATGGGGTTTCTTCCTACATAGTTACTTGAATAGTTTTGATCAGCTAATAATAGAAGTTTCATCTGATGTCGTCATGGCTATGTAGAAAATAAGGTACTTCAAGCAAACATTCTTTATCCAATCATATAGCTGTTTTTGATCTGATTTAATCTCGTTCAAAATATTTTAAATCGAATTTCATATAAGAGAGGTGCTCACCTTTTGTTCACTCAGTGTAATACCTTATCTTTAACATGAATAAAGACCAGATCCAGACCCAACTCACCATGCAGAAAATTTCCTACTGTCATACGTCACACTTATCTGATCATTTTTAGTCTTGTAATTTATTAAATCATATTCATGCTCGACTCTAATGTATACGTGCATTTGTAGACTATATGTCTTAAAGTTAACAAGCGGGTCTGTCAAGTATCGATGATGGTTGAACAGGCTAAGGTCACTAACGTTTTGTGTTGTCCTCGTATATCACGACCAAATTCTTAAAACGGTCGTTGCTGTAAACTACTTTGCTCATTTTATCAGTGGAATTTTGTGAATTTTCGCGAAATGCTGCACGACGAAAATGCCGATTTTCGGTTTCAAGAACAGCATCCTAATTTCATACTAATACTTCCTAAAACCTGCAGCAATATTAATTGTAAACTTTCTGCAAACGACTAAAATCTAACATATCCTTCCATGAGACAAGTAGAATAATTATGCTGTAGACAAATAATGTACCTTAGTCCATTGACGTTTTCAGAGCTACATTCTACTGTTGTTCATTGGTATATGTTTGTATCTCAAACTTAACATTTTCCAGAAAAGGTTTTAGCAAGTATCACTAAACCTCCGCTAACACCAGTCGTTACACAATCAAGTAAAAAATCAAAGCTAACCGATCTCAATACAGATACGGAAGTGAACAAAGTAACACAAACAACAATATTACCACCGGTACCACCTACAATTTATCGTTCTGCTAGTACAACTACAAATGATCAAGTCTATAAAAAGAAAAAGTACATTCGCACAGCTGCTGGAGCCACTTGGGAAGATCCGACTTTGGTTGAATGGGATCCAAGTAAGGTGCTTATTTTATTTACCTAACTTGTAGTATACGCATTTTATTGTTTTTTTGTACTCGTCAGCTTAATTTATGCAAATAGGAGTGTTTGTAGCTACATGTTTATTAAATAGTTTCATCTCCACAAAGTATGTAGATAAAAACTAGTCTTATTTACTCAAGATAGAATTGGATTGATATAAGTCAAACATAATGCATGTACTGTAGGCAACTAAGGTAAAGTAACAAGTTGAAAGTCAAGTATTTTGGGGCAAACAGTCAACAAAATGTAGAATTGTAGGTAGATTTGACTAGCAGTGATTACATTCAGTGTGATGGCGTGAACAACTTTTCCTATTGGGATGTTCATGGGACGGTAACCGTGTAAATCTTTAGTGATAATGTATTCTTCGAATTATGTAAAACCCATAGAATGTTTTTGTTGAAGTCATCCACGCAAGCTACGAATATTTCACATAATCTCACACTAGAACGTATAAGTCTACCAAAAAACTATCTAAGGAAGTTTTATTTGCTGGTTGTGTGACTAGATTTGATCAGAAATTGAGTACCGAGCTTATGGAAGACATTACTTACTTACTTACGCCTGTTACTCGTGAAGGAGCATAGGCCGCTCACCAGCACTCTCCATCCAACCCTGTCCTGGACAATCCTTTCCAGCTCTTCCCAGTTGTTATTCATCCTTTTCATATCTGCCTCGATTTCCCGACGTAATGTGTTCTTTGGCCTTCCTCTTTTACGCTTCCCTTCAGGATTACAAGTTGGGGCTTGCCTCGTGATGCAGTTCGGTGATTTGCGTAATGTATGTCCTATCCATTTCCATCGTCTTTTCCTAATTTCCTTTTCAGTTGGAAGCTGGTGTGTTCTCTTCCACAGAAGGCTGTTGTTGATGGTATCCGGCCAATGGATGTTGAGTATCCTGCGTAGACAGCTATTTATAAATACTTGTACCTTCTTGATGGTGGTTATTGTATTTCTCCAAGTTTCAGCTCTGTACAGTAGAACTGCCTTGACGTTGATATTGAAGATCCTCACTTTGATATTGGTTGAAAGTTGTTTTGAGTTCCATATGTTTTTCAATTGTAGGAATGCGGCCCTTGCTTTGCCAATCCTCGCCTTCACGTCTGCATCTGAACCTCCTTGTTAATCGATGATGCTTCCCAGGTATGTGAAGGATTCTATATCTTCCAGAGTTTCGCCATCAAGAGTGATTGGATTGCTGTTCTTCGTTTCGAATCTGAAGACCTTGGTTTTCCCCTTGTGTGTGTTGAGGCCTACTGATGCAGAGACTGCTGCTACATTGACTGTCTTTATCTGCATTTGTTCATGTGTATGCGATGGGAGTACTAGGTCATCTGCGAAGTCCAAACCGTCTAATTGGTTCTGAGCTGTCCATTGTATGCCGTGTTTTCCCTCAGATGTTGAGGTCTTCATAATCCAGTCGACCACCAGAAGAAAGAGGAAGGGAGAGAGTAGACAGCCTTGTCTGGCTCCGGTCCTTACTTGGAATGCGTCTGTCAGCTGTCCTCCATGCACTACTTTGCACTATAGCCCGTCGTTGACAATCTCAGGAACTCCGTGTTGAAGAAGTTTCCATAAGGTTCCCCTATCTACACTGTCAAATGCTTTTTCATAACCAATAAAGTTGATGTACAGTGACGAGTTCCACTCAATTGATTGTTCGACGATGATCCGTAGTGTCGCCATTTGGTCTGTGCACAATCGATCCCTCCGGAATCCAGCTTGTTGGTCTCAAAGTTGGACGTCTACTGCGTCTCATCCGGTTTAGCAACATTCTGTTAGAGACTTTCCCTGGTACTGACAGTAGTGTAATGCCTCTGTAGTTTTCACATTTGCTTAGATCTCCTTTCTTTGGAATCTTGATGAGGTGTCCTTCTTTCCAGTCCATCGGCACTTGTTCCTCATCCCAAATCTTTTTGAATAGAAGGTAAGGCATGTTTGTAGTTACTTCGATGTCTGACTTCAGCTGATATGTTGTCGGGTTCTGCTGCTTTCCCGTTCTTGATTTGTCTGATGGCCATTCTGATTTCTTCCGTCGTTGGTGGATTGACACCTATAGGAAGATCTGTGTGTGCTGCTTCGATTTCTGGTGGATTCATTGGAGTCGGCCTATTCAGGAATTCCTCGAAGTACTTTACCCATCTGTTCTTCTGTTGTTGAATTTCAGTGATTGGCCTGCCTTCTTTGTCTTTGACCGGTCTCTCTGGTTTACTATATTTCCCTGCTAGTCTCTTCGTTGTATCGTAAAGCTGTTTCATATTTCCTACTCTTGCAGCTTTTTCCGCCATCGATGCTAGTTCTTCCATGTATTTCTGCTTGTCGGCTCTAGTGCTCTTCTTCACTTGCTTGTTTGCTTCTATGTACTCAGCTTGTGTTTGGACTTTCTCTGCTCGTGTTCGGCTGTTGTTAATTGCTGTCTTCTTGTTCTTCCTTTCTTTGATCCTGTCCAGTGTTTCTATAGAGATCGATTCCTTATGATGATGCTTCTTGAGGGCCAGATCCTCCTGACACGTTGAAATTAATGCTTCTTTGATACTTTCCGAATTGTCCTCCATAGTAGTTTCTTCTTCTTTCAGTAGATCCTGTAAGGCTTGGAACCTGTTGTTGAGAGCTATCTTGAATTCATTGAGTTTGTCAGTATCTCGAAGGAAGGCTGTATTGAACCTTTGTAGTGCTGATTGTCCAGTTCTTCTTTAGCTTCAGTCTTAAATTGACCACAACTAGGTGGTGATCTGAAGCTATGTCAGCTCCTCTCTTGGTTCTCACATCTTCCATTGTCCTTCGGAACTTTTTATTGATGCAAATATGATCTATCTGGATCTCTGTGGTGTGGTCCGGTAAGATTCATGTAGCTTTATGTATACGTTTGTGTGGAAATATTGTTCCGCCTATGACCAATTTATTGCAAATCTTTCCCCATTTTCGTTTCTTTCTCCCAGTCCATGTCGTCCCATGATATCTTCATATCCGGTGTTGTCTATTCCGACTTTGGCGTTTAGATCTCACATCAGAATGGTGAGGTCCTTTCTTGGGCACTTCTCTATGATTGATTGCAGCCGCTCATAGAATTGATCTTTAATGTCGTCGTTGTTATCATTGGTGGGTGCATAACATTGGATAATATTCATTGTGATCCCCTCCTTTGTTTTGAATGATGCTTTGATGATTCTGGATCCGTGAGATTCCCATCCTACGAGTGCATTTTGTGCTACTTTGGACAGCATTAGAACAACTCCCTGAGTGCGTGGAGCATTTTCCTCTTCGTGGCCGGAGTATAGCAGCATCTCTCTCGTATTTAGCCTTTTCTGTCCAGCTTGGGTCCAATGGGTTTCGCTGATTCCCAGTACTGCCAAGTTGTATCTCCTCATTTCCGTTGCTATTCGACTGGTCTTCCCGGTCTCCCACATTGTTCGGACGTTCCATGTACCTATAAAAATTGTTGCTCCGGTTGTTAGAAGAGGTATCGGCCTCGTGGCTTCCGAAGGAACTCGGCTTTCACCATGAGGCGTCATAGTTCTTCTAAATGACGACCTTCTAACTCCCAGGGCAGAGTTTAAATGGTTTGAATTATTTATTCTGGTTAGCGTTTTTTAGCGAGTTAGTTTTCTACGGGATGGGGTCGCTAACCCCATGTCCATACCCTCTTCATTACCCGGGCTTGGGACCGGCAGTAACTCTAGAAGAGCTGCAGGCGGAGTTATGGTAGATGTTGTTCGTAAAAATCATGTTAGTAATAATCTCAGCGATTGAAAGAATCTATGGCATCCTGCAACTAAATCTACACTAATATTTTATCGAATAATGTTCAGATGTTGATTTTAGTGAATAGAAAAAATGAGTCAATAGAATGTGAGTAGTGTGAACAGTTTTATGGTGATTAGAAGTATTCGAATTATTGTGCTAAGAATTTCCAAAATAGTGTAATTTAAGGCATGTAGATTTAGGTGAGCACAAATGAACGTATTATATTTGGGATTCGTAATTAGCGCGCAGTCAAGTACAAAGGAATCATCATTTAGTAAACACCACAAGTTCACAAGGTGAAAAAGAATGAGTGTGTACATGCACCTTGTTATTAGTTGAGGTTTGGTTTAAAAAAATCCAGCCTGTCTACTACTAACGATAATTTTTTTATTAAAAGTAGGGATAATAATACAAATTGAAGTATTTTAGAACGTCGAATTGTATATTAATTGAGGAACGTTAAATACAAAGTTGTGAAGTTAAAACAATCAGACTAGCTTTTTTGTCCTGATATAGCAAACAGATATACGCTCTAGAGACTGAAAAGATAAGCGAATGAGTTTAAAACCCACTACCTAGCTGAGAAGATAAAGAACACTAGCAATTTGTAGGACGACTTGTCCTCTAGCGAATAAATTTGTTCTTCATTTGGCTTCCAGATGACTTCCGATTATTTTGTGGGGATTTGGGAAATGAAGTGACAGATGACACTCTAGCACGAGCATTTAACCGCTACCCTTCTTTTCAAAAAGCAAAAGTTGTTCGAGACAAACGTACCAGTAAATCTCGTGGTTATGGTTTCGTTAGCTTTTCTGATCCTGGAGATTTCACACGTGCCATGCGAGAAATGAATGGTAAGTTATAATCTACTTTTACTAGGCTATGTACAAAATTGTCTGCTCTGTCCGATTACTTATCTTGACCAATCGAATAAAACGAAATTTTGCTTGTAGTTCCGTACCAATTAATAGATACTAAATCACAAATAACTTCGAAGGTGAAACATAATTTGCTTGTTTTCTTTAGTAGATATAGGATGATAGAATCTAGAAAAACCTCTTTATTATCGGAATCCATTGTCGAACTCTGTACAAGTAAAAAAACTGCATATGATTTTGACCACGTGTAGTATAAACTTGTGGTTTGTTTATTTAATAACAGAAGTGCTTTCTACAGCTATTACCGTTATCTCACCGACGATGTTTTTTGTCTTATCGACTCAGTAAATACAGCTCATTTGGATGTTACTCAGAACGAACATGACTTGGAAAGATGACGTCACACAAATGCCGATTCGTATAACTGCACTTCACAGAAGCAGAATGAGTGTCTTAAAGACCACTACAGATTAAAGATTCCTGATATTTAGACAAAACAATACACCTGGGTCCTTGTGATCTATTTCAGCCAGTCTCCTAGCGCCAATAGTGATATAAAGAAAATCGGACTTTTATCCCAAAACATTACTTATGAAATTTCAATTAGAGTAACCAGACATTTAATACTCTCCAATCAAAACCAATTTTCGATAGGAATTACAGAATGTGATGATTGTAGAAAAGACTGGATAAAAAGATATTGGCTGCGTTTGTGGAATGTAAGCTATACGACAGTAACTGAAGGAATTCACATTATTTGTCACTACACGAATTCAGTCAGTCATAAATAACGTAAGAACTGTGGCGCATGCTCACCACCCCAAATTACTATACGACATTAGTACAAAACCATACAAGTTACTCCATCTAAAGAATCAGCATTTATTTTATTTGGACACATAAATATTGGTACAAAGAAGTACCAGATAATATGCGCCGCACAATTATAGTGAGAATGTGAAGAGATAAAGAATGGAAGGTGCATAAAAGAAGTAAGACAATGAACGGAAATTAGTGTATGATAGTGAAATAGAAATAAAGGAAGAGGAAGTTCAGCCACAGCGAATTCTTCCACACAAGGTAATTACGTCCTTTTTCATAGGAAGAAAATAAAAGAAAGTTGCAACAAAATCGCCACTGGCTTCTATTCTGAATCATGTCTGATGACGTCTCAAGCCACTATGTTGCACCATCTCTAGAACCCCAACCAGGGAGTCGCGAAGGACCAAGAGAGGCCAGTCATGTACAGCTTTCCTTCATACCACGACACCATGTCACACATTGATCACCTATCCGCTTCTTCCAACCAGTCCCAGCGTCGGCAAATAATGCAAGACATGAAATCCTCCGAGACGACATTCGTAAAACATGTCCAAGCCACCGAATTCGATGTTTCAAGATAGTGACACTAATCGAACTATCGTCACTGTGCCCGAACGCACGATTTTGCCACTAGACGTGACCAATCCTTCAGAGACAACGATGATCAAACACCGAGTCTTCTAAAATTCTCAACTCGGAGAGACCATGTTTCACAAGCATAGAGCAGAACTGCTCTCACCGACGCGTTGTAGGTCCAACCTTTTACGGCCAGACTAACATCACGAAGGCATCAAAGATGGTCCAGATTGGCATAAGCCGCTCTGGCTTTCACTATACGTGCATTGATCTCATCACTCACGCCACCACCAGCACTTATGCAGCTACCTAGATATACGAACTTCTCGACTACTTCTATCTGCTCACCATCCAGGGTGAGTACAGGATTAGAATCTTGTCAGTCTTGTAGAAGTACTATGCACTTCAAAGGTGCAAAGCATATACCGTACCCATGAACACTAATTGCGGATTGCATGACTTGGGCATTATCGCACAGTAAGACAATATCATCCGCATACTTAAGGTCGAGACTTTCTTCAAACAATAGATCCACGCCGCCACTACCTACATTCATCAGAGATGTTTCCAGAACGTTATCGACAAAAAAGTTGAAGGGGATGACGAGATTGAGCAAGTTTGCCTAACTTCACCGAATGAATGAAGCAACGATTGTCGACACATGTAGAGTTTATAAAGTATCAAATACGTTCTCACGAGCGGAGACGGTATATACTGTTTGTTTGTACGATACTCTCGAAAGATACTCCGATATGCTACGCCAACATAAACACCTTACAGTTGGATGATTAATTTATAGAGGCAGATATGTTATCACATTTGCAAAACTTGCAATGAAACGGGACTTTAACCAAGTAAATATATTTCCCACACCACTTCGTGGCAACCGGGTTGTCAATATACCTTTTTTTCTATTGGTGAGTGGGATGAAAATACCCAGGTTCCACACATCGTTCTTTAGTTATGTACAGTTTCTTTTAAATATCCATTTTATTTGAGCGGAAACTATGAGTCAATGTGTTTTACAGTTTCTATGTTATTTAATACTACTTTTGATGATTGTGAGGTACACTTCTGAACAAAACGCATATGTAGGCTTCGTTTTAGCCCTAATTCTTGCTTTGCTCATGAGATAGGATGGAACCCTTTGTTACAAAAATCTTTTCGACTGATTGTTTGGGATATTTATGTCACTAAGACAGCAAAGTTCTTGAAGTACGCCTGTGGGCAAAATCGCAATATGAGTTGTGAGAAACTTGCAACCATATAAAAGTTTGAAGCAACATCTTATTTTTCTGATAAAGACATGCTGTCAATATCTTATAACATTATGGTTTCTGAAACCTGTTTTAGGTAAATATGTTGGTAATCGTCCGATCAAACTGAAAAAAAGCGAGTGGCGTAATCGTCAACTGGAAGTCCATAGAAAAAAGGAGAAAGAAAAACGAAAACTTGGTTTGAAAAACTGATATTTTTAACCGAAGTCTATTAAATTTATCCTGTGAATATTTTCCTACTTTTGAAATACAAAGACTCAAGATAATTATAGCATTTCCCGGTATTATTTCTATACTTGTTGGAATTAAAACCTTCAACAAATCGTTGTCCTTTTTATGCTGATGGAATTTACTAGACCAGACGAGTTTTGTTATACGTTATATTCTGAGGCATTAGAGGTTATAAGATTGAAGGTTTTTAGAAGGAACTTCATAATCGAGACATGTAGGTTGTTTCTACTTAAACAGTTTATGGTGTTTGTGGTGATAGGACCAACTCTTCAATGACCAGCATAAATTTATAACTGCTAGTTGGTGCTCACATTTACTTTTCTATCAGAGTAAACATGTGTAGTTTATCATCACGGCTATTAAAATAAGTGGTAGTAGAAAGCGTTCTATGTTGCCACACGTAACCACTGCAACGTTTTGATGATTTGTTTATTTATTACATAAACACAAACATTGGTTCAAGTCATCACCATATATATATGCGCCATACAAATCATTTGATTTGTGTGAGGACTGGGATACTGCCCGGACACCCAAATCGAAATAGGGGGTTTTCTTAGGGGTTCACTCCTTGAACCTTTGACCTACAGGTCTAATGCACAAGACAGTGGAGCAACGTTGGGAGATGCAGTCCCATAGTAGCCGGTGACCAACAATAGGTTCATACACCGTTTGTTCGCTCAGGATCCTAGAGCCCATGTGCACCATTGGTTTGGAACCATGGTTTTTCAACTCCCCTAGGTGGATCCTCCGTATCCACCAACCTGGTTAGAGCGTCGGACATTCGCGTTTTGTCCTCTCAATTTCGTAAACATTATCTTTGCCCTGAGAAGGAAGTGAGCAGTACTTCCTTGTCAGAGGTTGTATACGCGTGGCCATATGAGAGCATTTCGAGAGGGATAGTTGACTCTAAGCACCTTCGGCCGGACCAGGGCTTTTGGGGGCCAAGCGACACTCAATGGAGATGATAATAACAGTAGTCAACTATGATTCAAGATCGGCATCCTATCTACTTTGTACTTACAAACAAGTTGGAATGTAAGATGCTCAGTTTCAGGAGGCGTGTAGTTTACACTTAGTGTGGCTCTTTAGAGTGTACTTGAGGAACTCTTGATGAGTATATTCTACTTATTAGTTGTTATATTCTGTAGGATGGTGGAAAATTATATATAGAGAGGATGTACTACCACGATCTCGCTTCACTAGCTACGTATCATTTACCAAGTACCTAGAAATTCTCCACCCTCTAATCTATACAGCTACTTCATTCGCAAGTAATCATTGCGTGAGCATCTGCAAAATTCCAAGGGATTTCGCATAATGCTCTGAACATTTTTCCAGTAAATAATTCAGAGAAACTTAGCATCTATCTTGATATGGCATACGAGAAAATCAATGCTAAACTACTATGCCTTTTGGAACCAGCTTATATGGGAGCAGAGACTACTTCAAAAGCGACTATTATTCATAAATTTCATAAGAAAACGCATCGATTTAAGATGGTGTATATTTTAACCTCACATGTAGAAATAAACTAAGTAACATCATAGTTTAACAATCCAAAAATGAATAGAGTAAAGTGACACGAAATATCTCAAGGTACTTGTGAAGTAGGTGTATACATTGAGTTCGTTTTCAACCACACCAGTGCAGCCTTCAGTCACTTTTATATAATCGCAACAACCACAAAACTAAACAGCAGTATGAGGTTTCATAAATCTGTGCCATATATGTTATCCCTGTCACTTTTTTTCAGTCTAATTATATGTAATTTAGTGTAACAATTGGCTAAGTCATTTAAAAAACGGACTTGGCACGCGAAAAAACAGTAATCAGTTACAAACTTAGAAATTTAATTAAAAATCAACAAGGTTTTTTAATCTGTTTTTAATCGCTTTTTGTTAGCGATTTGCAATCGTTTAGATTGAATTATTAAACTGTTGATCTGTAAAACAAGGAGTAGCTAATGTGAAAAGTAAATAGGAATAAGTGAACTTACAACAATTAGTAGACTGTTTAAAATAACAGGAATGTTCCAAATACAAGATATGAAATATCCATAACTATCAAAATATTGCTCAGTAGCGAACAAGCTAGAAAGGTTAAAATACTTGCAAAAGATTGTTACTTCCAGTTATTAGCAGCGAATTCATTAATCCGGTGTGAAAACCAAACAGTACCAACTATGTTATAAACAATTATACATGAAACCTTACGGGAAATAAGCAAAATACACAGCAACAAATTTGTACACTTGCGGAAAGCAATTACACATATGGATGTGAGGAAATGAAATCCAATTAGTGAAACTAACCATAGTTCACTGGTCCATGGTATCTAAGTAGAAAATCATAATATGAAATTTACAGACCGATAATATAGTACCATAGATAGTATTTACAGTAGGGTTGGTTGTAATGTCGAGGAATTGAAAACTGAAGTTCATCTGTTATAATTGGACAGAACCCTTAGATCTGCAAATGTCTAAAGATTGAGGATAATGTAAACGGTGAGAATCATAATTCAGTAGTTACATACACGTGTCAAAAATTTGTACAAGAAGATAAGTTAAAATAACCATATTGACAGTGGTGGGGAACCGAAAGGGAATAAGTGATGACAAGTACTACTTAGCACTATGTTCGACCCGACCGTTGTTGCTACCTTGACGTGGTGGTCGGGCTCGCCTATCGTGATGAAGCAACCGAGCTATACTGGCTGGAACAACCGTTCCTCAAGGTCCTACCATGTCAGACAGGTCGGTTGAAGAGCGGTAAGACTGAAAGCAACAAACCCAAGGTCCGAAGGCGAAGTCGTACTGCTGACTGTACAGAGGTGTGACAGCAGTAAGGTGTTTCCTTCAGACAACCAGCATGACAGCGATGCTGCCTTCCCACAAGGAGGGGTGGGGTTAGAAAAGGTCGACCCTAAAAATACACACCTCACCTTATCTCACGGATTTCCGTCTCCGGCGGTAAGGCCATTTGAAGAACGGAGCTAACACGTCAAAAACCTCCCACGAAAAGGCCGTGCGCGACCGGCCTCAAGCAGTTGTCCCTTGGGCACTGCGGTCACGTTCTCAGGTCACTGAGACCACCTCTAATCCAATTTCCTTTTCAGGTACCTCCAGAAGAACCCTTCCTCGGTGTGGGCAACCGGGAAGTGATAACCGCCCTCATACCTCTAACAGCACTCGAGACTGACTATGTTCGAACAACATGGTTTCAGAAAGGGATTGTCTTGCACAACAAACCTCCTTATAGCAAGGGAATCTTGGATAAGGGCGCTAGACAACGGAAACTCAGTGGATGTTGTCTACATAGACTTCAGTAAGGCTTTTGACAAGGTGCCAACAAATAGACTGCTATTGAAGTTAGAGAATTTTGGGATTGCCGGACCTCTCATAAAGTGGTTTAAGGATTTCCTAGTAGGTAGTAGACAGGAAGTAAGAATAAATTCCAAGTGCTATACCTGAAGATCAGTATTTAGTGGAGTACCTCAAGGTTCTGTCCTAAATCGTTTACTTTTTATACTGTTTGTAGATGACCTTTCAAGTATAGTAGTCTCCAATGTTATTATACGCTGACGATGTAAAAATCTGGCGAGTTATAACCGGAGACGCAGATGCATGCGCACTTTAGGCAGACTTAAATAATGTGATTAACTAGTATAGAGAGTGGTTGATGCCTATCAACGCGGCAGTGTGTACATGCACTTCGGGGATACATAGATTAATAGGTACAGCATAGGGGAAGTGTCTGTACCCATGGTCCGGTCTCATAAGGATCTTGATGTGACAGTGAGTCATGATTTTAAAACCACGGCCCATTGACGGGAGGTCGCAGCTGAGGGGTTCAGAACCCTCTGGACTCACGAAGTTAGATACTACCATGTTCATCACAGTATACATAACCTTAGTGACGACTAAGCTTCAGAACTGCGTTCAGGCTGCAAGCCTCTGTTTAAAAGGTGATTCGGATATCCTGGAAAACGTACAGAGGGCAGCTACCCGTGCGATCCCAGAACTTTTGGGTTTGCTTTACAAAGAGCGGACTGAAATGTTAGACCTCTTTAATCTGTCCTATCGCAGATTGAGAGCTGATCTATTTTTGATGTATAGAACACTAAGAAATGATTTTCGACCTAATATAGTCTTTTTCTTCCCACTAGACTGGGACATCTCAGAGGACATAGCAGGCGAGTAGAGAAGCCAAGGACGAACAAAATACCAGTGGCATACATGTTTTCACACCGAGTCCGCAATTCTTGGAACCTGTTACCCGAAGCCGTTTTGTCCGCATCTTCGACTGACTCATTCAAGAGGAGACTGTACACTCATAGAAGCATACTAGTAAGGGAATAACATAGGCCGTAGGCCTTCTGTCTTTACTACACAAATATGAAATATGTGGCTCATATGATAGTCTCTTTAGTTAACTCTGCTTATAATTTTTATACAAAGGAATTATATCGTTTTATATTTGTCAGATGAGTAAAAACTATTATATTACGCTTTTAATAGGAAGAAATAATCGAGTTAATTGCAAAAGATTTATTTATCTGAACACATAAATATTGGTACAAGAGTGCGCCAAATATATATGCGCTACACAAAACAATGAGAATTTGGAGAGAAGAAAAAAGGTAAGGAGCGTTAAAAAAAGGGAACGATAATGAAGAGATTGGTGTAAGGTAGTGTAATAATAATAATAGTAATAATGGGGGAACGGAAAGGTACAATCAGAAGAAATCTTTCAGTTAAGATACAACCACTTTTTATGAAGAAAGTAAAAGTGGACAGCAGGATCGCTACTGGCTTCGATTCAGGGCCATATCTGATAACGTCTCTAGCCACTGTGTAGCACCATCTCTAGGACCCCAGCCAGGGAGTCGTGAAAGACCAACACAAGCCAGTCCTTTGTAGCTTTCTTTCATGCCACGACACCATGTCATATACTGACCACCTCTCCGTTTTTTCCAACCAGTCCCAGCGTTGCAAGAGAACTAATAGTGGACGAAAAACTATGCAAGAATCTGTGAACTATGCTGAGCATTACAATATGCTTCCTAGGAATAGCTGTTTATTGAAAAAAGTGCAGAGGGCAAAAAGTCTTAGGTCTTTATATATTGAGGCCTCGGTGGATTTTTAGGCTTAGAAATTACATAATGTTTGCACCACCACTAGGCAGGATGAGACAAGCATATCGTTCGCTTCCCTAACTTCACCTGAAAACGGGATGGGTCCCATCCCAGTAAGTCACCTGTAAGATCAAGTGGTTTATCAGATTTGATAGGTTGTATACAGTGATGCAGAACATGTTGTCAGCTATTACTGACTTGAGTACAAATGTAAAGCTGCCGCTAGCGAAGTTCAGTGAACGCGAACATCCGCATCAATTCGATTGCGAACTATCAAGTCAGCAGTTCCCTTTGTCATCTGAAGAGGAACTGCAGATGCTGGACACTGGTTTGCAGCAGAAAGAAACCAGGGACAGATTTGTAAGTCAACAACATTAGTTTTATAATTTGTTCGTATTACAGATGGCCATAGTAACGAGGTTAATGGATAATGATCCTAAAACCTCAGTGCGATATGTTTTGTCGTACCTCATTACACCTGAGGTTGCCAGTAATTTCACGCTACTTGGCACTTCTTTAAAACGAGCACTTCAGAAATGCCGGCTTTACGGCTGCTTACGAAGTAACCTATATCTATTATTTAAACTTCAGGTGCATTAACCAATCGCTTTTTGTCATCATCTGTCAACGAAAAAGACCTTGCGAAACTGTATGATATCACGACACAAGATTATTTTCACGACGTCAGAGACAAATTGGTAAAGCGTAAAAGGAGGAAACAAGGACAGGTATGTACTAATTTAAAGTGATAACTTTCCTACTGCTCTATAGTTACATTCAACAGTGTTAACGAACATAACCGTAAGTGAAGCTTCAAGTATCTGGCTGTGCCAAAGCATGTCATTCATATATCGTTGTAACTTAAGCCTTTATTCCCCCTTTATTGGTTGCCTGGGTTCTTTCGTTCTTTACACTTCAGAATTCACAGGAATATTATTTTCATTCTCAATAGCCGAACATGCGTGGCTAAAGGAAGTAACCCGTGATGTTTTGTATGTTCTACTTATTTTTCAATAAACATTATTTTGTAAATGAGCTTACTTTCTTACTTACAGGGGGAATTATATAAGTGTTGAGAAAGTGTGTTTGATTGTCAGTGAACTTGTGATTAAATAAACATGCCTTATAATTAATACATCACGTTTCTTCTTTTGCAGATCTTTTCAAATAACAATGAATTGGCAATCACAATGAAAATGCATAACGATTGATGCTCAAGCTTCTGCTATAATGTTGTACAATAATACGCTTGTCCTTTTCAATAAATTTACTTAAACACATACCACTTTTCCCGTGGATTGCAGTTTTAGTGTGGCTTGTCGTGAGGATAAAGGCGAACATAGGAGACCTTTTGGGTTATGACAATGGTGTTTTAAAAGTTGAGGCAGAAGTAGACAATTCAGCTGACGATGCCAAGATATGGAGGACGATGCGATGTAAGGATGATAGCTTCGAACCGCAAAATGACCTGAAGAGATTACCTGAATGGTCTCAAACCTGGCAGCTGCCGATAAATACTTCCAAGTGTGTTGTGATGCATATCGGTCATTAAGGTACAGATATATACACGATGAATAACACTGAGCTACCTGTCGTCCAGACATAAAATGACTTAGGAGTCATCGTTAGCCAAGACTTAAAGACTACTGTATACTGGCGTGCAATAGCCGCCAAAGGTTTTAGAACCTTATGGTCAATACGCAGGGCTTTTAGTCACTATCGACGCTAAGACGTTTTTGACTTTTCCGCGCTAATTTCAAAAAGGGCAGTGAATTTTGTACTTGTTGTGATTATACTTGCTTTTGGTACTTATTGCACTAAAAAGCATTCTTGGTCTACTTTAACTAATAGTTCTTTGGTTAAAGTTTGAAATTTTTTGCTACATTTTGTCCTGGGTACCTGTTTTTAGTCCTTGACTAACACTTGTGTTCACATTGTTATTATTTTTTGTTTTTAAACCTTTTAAATCGAATTACAATGGTTGGTAAGACTCACAAATGTGGGCAACCAAATTGTTTGTTCTCCGTTGAGGAGGGAATGCAGTGTGACGACTGTAAAAAGTGGTATCACAAAATGTGTACACGACTAAGTCCGACGGCTTACAAAAGATGCTCGAAGCCTAACTCGCATTGGCTTTGTGTGTTCTGCTGTACGGATAAAAAGGTACTAATACAGGAGGCTATGGGCCTATTGGCTTTGGCCTGCAAGAAAAACGATGGCGGAAGCACTGATAACAGGAGCACTGACGATGAAGAATGTGTCAGTGTAGTAAGTGCTGCTACTGGACCCATTAAACACCTGACTGCGGTTGACGGGAACGTGAAATCTCCGTTGACATTAACGAGAAATGAAGTGTCGCTTGATATTGACATCGGCAGTCATACACCTCTAGTCGAAATAGAAGATCCGGATAAAACTGTCACCGTTCCACATAGTCCAGGTGTGGCTGTTCTGAGTGGTGACAAATGGACTTCGGTAAGAAGAAAAAAAAATAAGAAGAAAAAGGCTGTAGGCAAAACGCAGCTGGTCAGCAAGACATTGGAAGGGACTTTATCAGAAGAAAAATCCTCACCGCGTGAAAAGACAGATCTCTCTGAGAGATCAGTCATTTTTCATAAGATAAGAGAATCTTCAGACACTGAACCAAAGGCAAGATTTGAACATGATCTCAATCATATTAAGACATCATTAAGTAAACTACTCCCAGATACAGTTTCAGGAGTTAGTATTTGTAAGCTTTATAGAATAGGAAAAAAGGTGGATTCCGAAAGTCCTCAGAAGAACGGCCTCCTAAAGGTTACATTCAACACGGTGGAAGAAAGGAACCTGGTTCTAAGTAATTCACGTAAACTGATTGGATCCGGAATATATGTCCGTGAGGATCTCAGCCTAGCTGATCGTATTAAGAGATGAGCAGCAGAAGCGGAAATAAACGAGCGTCGCCGAAACGGTGAAAGAAACCTCGTTCTTAAGGGTTTTCAAATTGTATAAGTTCGGAGCAAAACGATACCCAAGCCACTCTGGGTGGCAAGGGAAAGCTCTCCACAGACTTAAAAGTGTGCTACACAAATGCTCGCAGCCTACTAAGTAAAATGGCGGAGCTGAAGTCAGTGGTGGATGAAGAAAAAGCGGACGTTATTGCTGTCTCAGAAACTTGGTTAACGTCAGAAGTATTAGATAGTGGAATCCAGTTGACTGGTTTTTTAACCAGTAGGGCTGATAGATTAAACCGAAGGGGAGGCGGGGTTATTGTGTACACGAAAAGTACCCTAACCATAAGATTAGCTGAGACAGTAGCACATGTATCAGGGACATGTGAACTGGTGAGATGTAAGTTGAAATGCCGAAGGCAAGATATTGAAGTAGTTGTAGTTTATCGCAGTCCAGAATGTGTAGCAGATGATTTTCTCCTCAGTAAACTTAAGTCCTGGTGTAACAACGGTAAAAGCCTTGTAGTAGGCGACTTTAATGCACCATATATAAACTGGGTTAAGTTAGAAGTAGAGTCATCTATATCGTCGTTCGACTCCACTGTTAGAAACCTCGATTGGACTAGCATTATTCCAACACATTAGAGATCCCACAAGATACGATTTAAGAAACTCTTCCTCTCTTTTAGATTTAGTCTTCACACACGGTGATGACGTTGGTCAAACGGCTTTTCTCCCACCACTTGGGAGAAGTGACCATGCAGTCATCTTATTCATATTCATGGCTGAGATTGCTTGTCAAACAATTGCGCCGGCCCGTCCTAACATATGGAAGGCAGATATGCAGGCAATTAACTCCGCAGCATCGGCTGAGAACTGGAAAATTGACTCAAAGGCATCAGTACAAGAGGCATGGACTCTATTCAGGCAGTTATACAATCGGGTAACTCAACCATATATACCCTGGACTGTCCCAAAGAAAAAGAAGCACGGACATCCCTGGATAGGGCGGGATATTCGACGCTTACTAAGACAAAAGAAGAAATGCTGGGATGTTGCCATCCGCCTTGGCACAGCAGGTACGATGGAACACTACAGATCGATAAGAAACGAGTGTATAACTAAAATTCGGGAAGCGCAAAGAAAATATGAAATGCAGCTGGCAGAATCTGCACTCAAGCAGCCCAAGAGGATATTCTCGTACATAAACTACAGAACAAGGATTCATCACTGGATTCCCAACCTAATTAAAGTAGGAAGTGAATCTGAAATGATAGAGGAAGATCAGGGAAAAGCAGAGGTTATGGCTGACTACTTTGGGGCAGTTTTCACTCAGGAACCTCCTCTAGAGAAAGAACCAGACCCAATTACAGATTCAACAAACCAGCTGCTCACCGTGGACTTCGACCAAAACGATGTGCTTAAGGCTCTTAGCACCCTAAACATGGAGAAGTCAACAGGACCAGATGAACTACACCCTAAAATCTTGAGACATATTGCCGAATATATCGCAGCCCCACTGACTGTGATATTCAAAATGTCACTTGACCAAGGTGTTACCTATGGACTGGAAGGACGCAATCGTCACTCCCATAGATAAAACTGGTCTACGACAAGTTCCATCAAATTACAGACCCGTAAGCCTCACCAGTGTTGTAATTAAAATACTGGAAAGGATAATCAAACGGACCATAACAGCATTTATGGAAACCAATAACTTGCTGAACATGGAACAACATGGTTTTAGAAAGGGTCTATCCTGTACAACGAACCTCCTTATAGCTAGGGAGCTCTGGATTAATGCGCTAGACAACGGAAACTCAGCGGATGTTGTCTACATAGACTTCAGTAAGGCTTTTGACAAGGTGCCAACAAATAGACTGCTATTGAAGTTAGAGAATTTTGGGATTGCCGGACCTCTCATAAAGTGGTTTAAGGATTTCCTAGTAGGTAGTAGACAGGAAGTAAGAGTAAATTCCAAGTGCTATACCTGAAGATCAGTATTTAGTGGAGTACCTCAAGGTTCTGTCCTAAATCGTTTACTTTTTATACTGTATGTAAATGACCTTTCAAGTATAGTAGTCTCCAATGTTATTATACGCTGACGATGTAAAAATCTGGCGAGTTATAACTGGAGACAAAGACGCATTCACTCTTTAGGCGGACTTAGATAATATGATAAACTGGTCTAAAGAGTGGCTAATGCCTATCAACTCGGAAAAGTGTGTCTACATGCACTTGGGGGATTCAAAGGTTAATACGTACAACATAGGTGATGTGTCATTACCCGTAGTCCGGTCTCATAAGGACCTAGGGGTGACAGTGAGCAGTGATCTTAAGACGACGGCCCATTGCCGGGAGGTCGCAGTTAAGGGGTTTCGAACCCTCTGGGCTTTAAAAAGGACATTCACTAAGCTTGATACTACCATGTTCACCACATTATACACATCCTTAGTGAGAACTAAGTTAGAGAACTGTGTTCAGGCTGCAAGCCCCTGTTTAAAAGGTGACTCAGACATACTAGAAAAGGTACAGAGGGCAGCTACGCGTGCAATTCCGGAACTCCGGGGTTTATCATATAAAGAGCGGCTTGAAAAACTGAACCTCTTTACTCTGTCCTATCGCAGACTAAGGGGAGATCTAATATTGATGTACAGAATACTGAAAAATGATTTCGGACCTAACTTGTTCTCTCTCTTTCTTCCCACTAGATCGGGACACCTCAGAGGACATAGCAGGCGAGTAGAAAAGCCAAGAACGAACAAAATACCCGTGGCATACAGGTTTTCACACCGAGTCATCAATACTTGGAACCTGCTGCCTGAAGCAGTGGTGTCCGCACCTTCAATTGACTCTTTCAAGAGAAGACTGGACACTCACAGAAGCATACTAGAAAAGGAATAACATAGGCCGTAGGCCTTCTGTCCTTACTACACAAATCTAGTGTTCGTACGTCCTAAACTTGAGTACTGCATACAAGTGGCTAGCCCCTACTTAAAAATAACAGTGAGCTTCTGGAAAGGGTTCGGAGAACGGCAACTAAGCTGATTCCTGGAATAGCGAAGCTTCTGTATGAAGCTCGACTGGCCAAGCTGAACCTTTTCCCGTTGTCATATCAGAGAACTAGAGGCGACTTGATTAGTTTTCAAATTGTTTAGTGCCAAATTTGCACCTGATATGCCCTCATTTTTCTTGTCTTTCAAAACAGAGAATTTACGAGGGCACTCCAAAAAAGTTCACAAGCCCAGAACAAATTACTTGTCAGCTGACTATCGACTTTCCCATCGAATCATCAACGAGTGGAATTCACTAACTTGAGGCTCCATCTGTCGATTCTTTCAAAAGAAAGTTGGATCAACTGAGGGACCACCATTTCCAGGACTAACACAGTCCATCAGGCCTCCTGTCCTTCCCAAACTGAAACTGACGTATATTTTGGCGAAAAGTAAACAATTCCGCGACATTTGAGCTACAAAAAGGGGGAAATCCGCATTACTTTCCCCGGACAGACGAAAAAGCAGACATTTTGACGCCTTTTCCCCTTATTTTTCCTTTGTTCGCCTTTATTTCCCTTTTGTTGGTTGATTGGGCACTACGCAGGATGAGACAATCATATCGTTCGTTCCCCTAATCTCACTTGAGAACAGGATGGGACCTAAGCAACCAATAAACGGAAAATAAAGCGGACGAAACCGTAAACAAACGGGAAAAGTCGGTTTTCTCACCTTACGTCGAATATTTGGGAGATCTGTAGACAACGCACAAAGTCTGAATATGCCGCGCCCTCAAATGGTTCAAATGGTTGTGGACGGAACAGAAGAATCTTTCGCTATAGGGCTTCCGTGTCTAGTAGCAGTGGATCACCAATGCCTCCAGGCAGGAACCTGGATTTATTGATGATAATGGGGGAAAAAAGAAATTGGTAAATCAAAGTAAGATATTATACTTGGTCCTTAAGAATGGGTCAAGTTACCTCTTAAATGAATCCTGGGAAATCGCTTGGACTAGCTCAGACGCAATCGAATTCCAGCATTTGACAACTCCTAATGAGCAGAAGTTGTGTCTTCAGTTTCTAGGTGTTACCCCTTAGGTTTGTGTAGGAGGTAAACTTAAGTAGGTGTTTAAGGGGATATTCAGAAGTGTTAGAGATACTGCAAGCCATTAGATAACCTCTAAGACGCCTATGCTTTAAAAGGCAAAGGTTTAGTGATTGGAGGTGCTCTTCATAAGGTTTGAATTTTAATCTTCGAACTGATTTTGTGGCTCGCCGTTGGATACGTTCCAGTGTGGTGGTCCCCAACAGGCTTAATGTTATTCATATGGCTCATAAGTCTTTCGCAAAAAGAAGTGGGATCCGTACATACGGGTTTGCCATTATGCGTCACTAGCTGCCCCGGTAAGGTTAAATTAGCTCCATAGACGAGCTGTGCAGGAGTACATTGTAGGTCTTCTTTAATTGTGGAACGTATGCTTAGTAAAATAAGAGGTAGAGATTCACTCCATCTAGAAACATCAGGTTGTACCATCAATGAGCTTTTTAGTTGTCTGTGGAATCGTTCCACTAGTCCATTCGCTGCTGGATGGTATGCTGTTGTAGTGATGTGATGGATTCCTAAAATGCGGGTGAATTCATTGAAGAGGTGAGATTGGAACTGTGAACCTCTGTCCGAAGTAACTGTAGAAGGTACACCAAAATTAGCGATCCATCTGTCGAGGAATACAGCAGCAACATTTTCCGCGGAGATATCTTTTATTGGGCATGCAATTGGCCATCTAGTAAAACGGTCCACTGCAGTAAAAATGTAAGTGAATCCGTTAGATGGAGGAAGAGGACCAACTAAATCAACATGAACATGTTGAAAACGATGGTCGGGTAGACTAAATGCTGACGGTGTTGTAATCGTATGTCTATGTATTTTACTGCGCTGACACTGTACACAAGTCCTGGTCCATTTTTTTATATTTGCATTCATCTTTGGCCAAACAAATCTTTCAGCAATCAGTTTCACAGTAGCACGAATCCCTGGATGGGATAGTGAGTGAAGACAATCAAAAACTCTTTTTCTGTACACTATTGGCACAAAAGGTCTGTGAGTTCCAGTAGAAGTATCACAAATGATAGTAGAGTCAGAATGCGGTATAGGAACACTTTTTAAGGACAAGCTCGAACTTTGTTTACAAGCATCAAGGTCGGGATCATCTGTCTGCAAACGTGCCATGTCTGATAAATCGATTCCTTTGGTGAAGGAAATTGCATCGACGTTGAAACGTGACAAAGTATCCGCAACAACATTTGACTCACCTTTTATAAACTGTATGTTGGTCGAAAATTGGGAAATATAATCCAACTGTCGCATTTCTCTAGGGGAATAACGGTCACTTTTCGCGTTAAAGGCATAGGTTAAAGGTTTGTGATCAGTGAGTATCACAAAGTCTCTGCCTTGCAGTAAATGGTTGAAATGTTTAACAGCTAGATAAATAGCCAATAGTTCTCTACCGAAGGTGCTATATCGAGTTTGGGTTGGTTCTAGCTTCTTTGAAAAGAAGGCAAGTGGTTTGACCTCATTATTAACTCGCTGTTGTAGTACTGCACCTACTGCTGCCTGTGATGCATCTGTACACAGGATTAGTGTTGCTTCCGGGTCAGGGCTTAAGTAGGTCAGCATGGTAGTAGAAGCGATTGCTGTTTTAGCTGCAGAAAAGGCATCTTTCGCTTGGGAGGGTAATGTGAACTTTTTGACTTTACCTTTTAACACCTCCGTCAAAGGTTGTAGGATGTCTGAGCAATGTGGAATAAAGCGACGATAAAAATTGATCGTCCCCAAGAAACGTCGAAGTTTATTCCATGAGTCTGGTTCTGGAAAACTCTTGATGGCTTCTATTTTTGTATCCAAAGGTTTAATTCCACTTTTGTCGATCAAGTGACCTAAAAACTCTAAACTCTCAACTCCGAAAATACATTTGGATGGATTAATCACTATGCCATATTTCTGAAATCTTTCGAATAATTGATGTAGGTGATCAGCGTGTTCATGGATCGAACTGCTAGCTATTAAGACATCATCAATATACACGAAAACAAAATCTAGGCCTATAGTGACCTCATCCATAAATCGTTGAAATGTTTGTGCGGCGTTCTTTAATCCAAAAGGCATTCTTAAGAATTCAAACAAACCAAATGGAGTAATGATGGCTGTTTTTGCTATGTCCTCGGATGCTACTGGAATCTGGTGGTACGCTCGCACAAGATCAATTTTAGAAAAAATTTGCTTGCCATGTAAAGTGAGAGAAAAATCATGTAAATGAGGGATTGGGTAGCGATCCGGTAATGTGAGGTTGTTCAATGATCTATAATCACCACAAGGTCGCCAATCTTGGTCTCGCTTGGGCACCATGTGGAGTGGGGATGCCCAGGGGCTACTTGACGGATGTATTATACCTAGCTGCATCATATGATCAAACTCAGCCTTTGCAACATTCAGTTTATCTGGTGGTAATCGGCGTGGACGTGCCGAAGTTGGTTGACCTTTTGTGATGATCCGGTGTACTACAGAATGTTGGACAGTGTTTTCACTGTAGTCTGGTTTCGTTATTTTGGAAAATTTAGATAGAATGGTGGCGAATATGTCGTTCCCTGGAGTGTCAATTTTAATACTATGTATGTGGTAGTCCGACTGAATTCCCTGGATTTGAAGGTTCGTGCAGGAATCAATAAGTTTTCTTCTCTTAACGTCAACTAGTAGGTTGTAGAAACTGAGAAAATCTGCACCTAGTATAGGGTGACGGACATCCGCAATAATAAACACCCAGGTTAAATTACGTCTAATTCCCAAGTCTAATGTTAGAAATTGTTCGCCAAATGTCTTTATTTCGGTTTTATTAGCTGCCCTTAGGGTATATTTTCCACTCTTAGCAATAGGTTTATTGGCTAAGGTAACTGGGATGACACTAACTTCAGCTCCAGTATCTACTAAGAATTTGTACCCTGAAGTTTTATCAAGAACGTGGAAAAGACGAGTAGGCGCACGACCAGAAACATTTGTCGCTACCATGGTTTGGTTGACACGTTTTGGTGAGGAAAATGACTTGAAAAATTTACAAGACGTAACACATTTCCTAGCTTTGTCACCATATTTTTTATGGTACCAACATATGTTGTCGTCGTCTTTGTTTCTTTTTGCGTTATCTCGTTTCTTACTCCCTCGAGAACTAGAGCGAGATCTTGTAGATGTGAAGTTGGAGATTAATAATTGTAATGCATCCAGTTTATTTTCAAGAGTGGCGACAGTTCGTTCATGTTGTGCTCGTAGTTCGCCTAGTTCAGCAGTTAACGATGCTATGGTGGGAGTTTGCTTATCGTTCGAAGTTTCTACTATTGCCTGTACGTAAGGTGTATTACAGGGTGTAACTTCTAAAATTTTATCCGCCATGCTAGCAAGACTTTCTAAATCTGATGGTTGGCTAGAGGCGCAAAGAATTTGCCTAACTACTGTTGGCAAACGTTGTAGCCAAATCTCCTTGAGGAAGGCGTCATCAAATTTATAAGGGCCAGCTAATTGTCTCATGTGTCGTAATAATTGAGACGGGGATTTGTCGCCTAGCTCACATTCGTGTAGTAATTGCTGTAATCTCTTTTCATCAGATAATGAGGTACGTTGAATAATTGCCTGCTTCAATTGATCATATGGATTAGGTGCAGGAATATTATCTATCAAATCTGACACCTCAGATGCAACTTCAGTGGGTAGTAATCCAAGCACAAAAGAGTATTTAGATGCCTGTGAGCGTATGTTGCGACGCTGAAATTGTACTTCTACTTGCGCAAACCAAATGCGAGGATTTAATCGGCTGAATGGGGGCACATTTATCAAATTTAGAGCATGTAGCTCTGCTGAAATGTTATCCTGGCTAATGCCTTCAGTTTCGGATGAGTACATTACGAATATAAGAAAATTTAAATACTACCAAGGGTAAAATAACGCCGTAATGTCTGTAAGTGAATTCAAAAGCAGTTGCGAGAGAAAAAAAAATTTTACGGGCTCACCAAATTTGTGGTGGTCCCCAAACAAAAGGAGCTTACACAAAATATTTTGATACTCTAGGTTAACACTGATATACCAAAACGAATTAATGATTAAGAAACCTAGATGTCTGTCCGTTAGTAAAAACAAAGGTAATAAAATACCGTTAGCAATACAAAAGGTATATTAAACAAACAGACGCTAACAGTTACTATAGAATGAATGTTACTTGTTAACTGCCTCGTGAGGACAACGACCACAAACTAAGTTCACTTGGTTGACAGGTGTTCCTCTGCAAGTGACTGCACCAAAGACGTAATGAGGAAGACGGAGTCCAATAGTATTATACAATAGTAATCCGTGCCAAAAGTCCAACGTTGAGTCGGAAGGCCTATAAGGATGTTATAATACTATTATAGTCTTCAATCAAAACGGTGGCCAATAAAACAGAAGAACAAACGGCGTAGGTATTGTTCTATATTTTAAACAACCCGGTAGTAGAAGTGTATACCATTCATCGAAACAATTATTATCGTCTTTTTAACAAGTGATACAGCAAAACAACAGATATTGGATAAAAATGTGGTTACAAATAAAGTGTGACAAATTAGAAAAAAAATGTGGTTTTTATTTTTGTTGTTACAAAAATCACTGAATATATGTCACCATACCAGTGTCATTATCCTTTTGAAGTGAGGGAGGAATTACTGTTTCCGTACTCTAAATGGGGACGAATAAAACTGTTGAGGATCATGTTTAAAGTTCTTCC